CCAAGCCAAGGGTTCGCTAAGGGCCAGCAATGGTCTTCAAGTGCCGGCCACGTCCAGGTGTAGGCTCTGGGCGTGACAGGGTTCTTGGGATAGGATAGGAATACGGGTTAGACTAGACTATTGGGTACATGCTTTTGATACTAAATCCGCTGAATATTTGTGACTAGGCTAGACTATAGTGGGGGTAAATTCTATCTCGAGTAACTTACCCCGAATCAAATGGGTTCCTCTCGGACACCCACTTGCCGCATGAAGAACAGCCTCCGCCTTAGCTCACTCACTCTCTCGAGCTGAGTGTGTGAGAGATAGACTAGGGTTCACTCTCTCGAGATGAACCTCATGTCGACCCACTCCCACCGGCCATCAATTTAGTAGTCTTAGTTTTATGACCTCTCTCTCGAGCAAGCCAAAAACACAAAGGTGAAATCGTATTTGCAACTACAATTTCATTAAGTTCCACCACAATTACTAAACGAAATTACATCTAAACAACAAATAAATCATCAACAAGCAAGACCCAACAGAAAATCTAACCCATACTCACAAAATCACACCCCAAGAATTGGGGTTTTAGCTAGACATGTAAAAGAGATAGAAATTTATACCAATATGAGTTTGCATTCAAATGGGTATGAAGATTCAAGTCTCAAAACTGAAGAATCCACAAGACCCAAATCCAAAATCTTGGAGTTGAAACCCATTGAATCTTCAAGTTCTTCAAAACCCTCTCCAAACTTAGAACTCAAAAATAGAAGCAAAGTCTGAAAAATTACTGTTAAAATCTAAAAATCGATCCTAGAATAATAATTCTCAATGAGTATTTATAGTTTTGAAAAATCTAAGTTGCAGCGGATCACTCGGTGTTGTTAGTTGAGATCGTTGATCAACTCAGCGATCCTCCCTTTGGTAGGTTTCATCGTCGTCTTGCTCTATCCTTCAACATCGTCGTGTTTGGATCATTGTGCGACATAGTACAGCTTCACGGAACTGCTCGGCGATATGTCGACTGCTCCTTTTCACCGCCGATTCGATCCTTTCCTTCAGGGCTCAGCACACTGGAACAAAATGCGAGACCATTTGCAGACTCGCCGAATAGGTTCGGTTATTCTCAAATTTTCATTTCTTCGTTCTTTCAGCTGCCTTTGTTCCTTTTTTTTGCTAAGTAGTGTCCATGCTTACCTTCAAACTCCAAATACCTGAAACTTAAGGGTTTTCATCAGATAATGAGATAAAATATGCATTTGAGAACACTAATTCTATCAAAAAATAACCCTAAATGAGTCTAATTTGAGGACTCATCAGCACCCCCAACTTAAACTTTTGCTTGTCCTCAATTAAACTCAAGTTCAGCCGTTCAAAAAAAGACGTCTCGAACAGTGCTACACAAGACTCAATCATGAATGCACATAACAAGACTCAAATTACTTATGCAAAGATCAAATGTGCACTCAAAGATTCAAGTTGTGACTCACCAATATCAAAGAATCGTGTGCTCACAATACTTGCTTCAAATGCAAGTTCAATCTCAACCAAAGTGTTCAAATTCCCTCACACAAGGAATGATTCCATATTCACACACAAAGGTTTAATCATTTAAAGTTCCGAAATCAAATGCAACACTCACTCTCACGAGGAAGAATACAATGCATGCTTTCACTCATAGGTTTTGCCGTATTTTCCGATCAACATTTGTTTCAGGTCACTCAATATCAAAAAGGTCTTTTCAAAGCTTATAATGGGACTGAGTGCAAAGGTGTGGTCATTTAGGCTTAGTGACTTTCATCCTCAAGAAATGTGGTGCTCACAACACTTCCTTTCCTTTTCCTTCATCATTCTCTTTAGTGCTCATAAGTCATCCTATTATTCACTTTCCATGGATTGCTTGGAAACCCCATTTCTTTTGTACTTTATTCCACAACTTTCTCTTCTTCCTTTTATTTTTATTTTTTTATTTTATTTTTATATGGAGGGGTTCCATTTTTCTCAAAACCATGGGTAAGAGGGACTTTTTTTGCATTTCTTGATTTGCCTTTTCTTTTCACCACACCCCCAACTTAGGCTTTTGGCCTAAGTTGGCTATTCAACAAACCACAACTTCATAAGGATTATGGGTAATGAATAAAGGAAGGTCTAGTTTTCATCAAGTTTCTTCCAAAGGAAGGTAAGGCTCAAGGGGTGTTCAAAAGCGGTTCACACACTAACAAGGTAGGTCACAAAAGAGGTATATGTCAAATTGGCTCACACTCTTAGAAGTTGCCTAAGATCATATCAAGAGATATATAGCATCACTTAGTTGACCGGACCAACGGGGAAAATTCTAGGATCCATCATGCATAGTTCACAGGTAAGCTTATCACACTAGGCATTGACACTATCAGTCAAACAAGACTCCACATTTTTGCTACTGTGGAATAATCATCACAAGAGACTCAAATTGATACTAGGCTAGTCATAACGAGATGAAAAGAGTCCACATATTGTCTATGAAACTTCATTTGGCCTCATCGTAGCCGCGCATTCAAGTTTGTTTGATTGAGAGCACTATTCAAGTCATCGGTTTTGATCGGAACCGAGACTTAAATTTTGCAAAAGAACAGCCACATTCAATACACGAGAGGTGGCAAAAAATTTTGGACGGGTCAAAATCATTTTTGCAATTTAAAATAAAAGGAGCCACAAGCTCAAACATCCACAGAAAGCAGTGTAAACACAATTTAAGCACAAAGCTCAAATATAAACAAAACACGAACATCAATAGCATATAAAGGTGGGCCTCACCCCACCACAAATAAAAACATTTATCCTCAATTGCAAATAACACAGAATCCAAAATGTAAAATAAAGAAAAATGGAGAGGGAGGTAAAGAGGTGATCCTGGCTAGTCGGTCACTCCATTTGCCCAGGCATCAGTGCCCGATGTGTCAGCCTAGAATTTGATAATGGCCCCCGGAGTTTCTTCAGAATATTCAATAGCAGCTGACTTGCTAAGATTGCCCAAATCATGAGCCGCCAAAAAGGAGTGGATAGCTATGAAGAATCCACGTCTCCATGAGGGAATAGAGGGGTCTCGGGGATTTGTTCTCTTGCTGGCACTGGGGTTCTTGCCCTCATTATCCATTTTGGGAGGATTTGTTGCCTTTGTATTTTTTCCTGAAATTTTTTGCTCTTGTTTGTCGAGGTGGCATATCTCTTCCAGCTACTTTTGGTCTAGCCATTTCTGCAAAGTTTGAGAAAAAGTTAGAAAGTATTCAGACAAAAGCAAGGCAGTTCAATTGCAGAATCACTTTGTCAAAGCAGTTAGCGAAGCGCCCAACTACTTAGGTGGTTCGCCTAGTGCAATGCATAGAGAATACAAAGGTGCAGACAAAGGGCGAATAGGAAACCCTTCGGTGAGGCGTCAAATGCGTTCCGCGGCATCATGTTTCTCGCCGGAAGTTACAGAATTCAACATCACATTTAGCATTAAATTAAAGGCGAGATGGGGAGTGTAGGAAAAGTGCCGAGTGGTTCGGAGAGCTCGACCCAGCTCGCCAAATGACCCAACGTGCCTGCTTTCGACCCAACTTTCCCAAATTCAACCCTGTGACCCCTGAAAACAAAATTAAGGTATGCACAACTCAAATTAGTCTTAGACCCAGTGACAATCATGCACAACCCACGATTTTTCATCCAATTTAAAGTGCAACCTTCAGGAATTCATTATTTAACTTAGTACGGGCAAAATTTGCAAACCTAACAGGCAAACAAATATTTTAATCCTACCAGAAAGGCCCAGCACACATCATCAAAGTAATGCCATTTCATATGAGTACAACTTTCGAGGAAAGAAACGTAGGGCTCAGAAACCAACCCTGGATGCTGGTTAAGATGCTACTGAGATACTAGGCTGCAACGCAATCCAGATCCAAGCACAATTTAATAACAGAAACACAATAGAAATGCAGCGAAATTGAGAATAAAACTAGGTGCGAGTTTGTAAAGTTTAAAAATGAGGGAAAGCATAGGAAATTGAAACTTCTAAACCTTTGTCTTGAAAACCTGTCCAGTTCTTGCCCACTCGGCGACATTGGTTGTGAGCGCCGAACCATTCGGCGTCACGCCGAGCAATCACCTTCCTCACCGAGTTTTACAAAATCTCCCAGTTTATGTGGGGATCCAAACGGCGATACACATCGGGGTCGCCGAGCTGATCGGCAACTCGCCACTTATTTCTTTAGGCCCGCCGAGTTTTACAGACTCCAAACCCAAGCTAGGTTGGATCAAACGATGGTAAGAGTCGAGTCGCCTAAGACTTCGGCGACTCGCCAACCGACATTTCCCTCACCAATCTCTTTCTTTCCAAATGCTTCCCACACTTCTTCCTACATAATTAGCACACCATTATTTTATCAAAGCAAAATAAAGCAATAAATGGTTTTAGGTTGCCTCCCATATAGACCTTAATTAACGTCGTTGCACGACGCAAGTCCACCTTCAAACCTCATTTTTTAAGGTTGAACCTAGTGCAACTAGGTGATCCCAATTTTTCATTTGGATGGAGCTAAGGCAATACATGACCCAAGAGAGTTTCAATTAGCTGGATAGATCTAGAGTGAGAACCGCTCATCTGAGTTAGCACTTCTACATTTTCTCTATTATCTTCTAACACTCTATCTTGCTCATTTAGCTTTTGGGGAATGATTAATAACGTATCCTTGATAAGTCTATTTTCATTGTCCATAGACCTTCCCTGCTCGGTAGGTGGTATGCATTTACTCTTATTTTTGGACATCACCTCCAGTTCCTCAACCTTTTGGGTCAAGTTATTCATCTAACCCAGCAAAATAATCAATTGCTGGTCCTTCTCAGTATCCTTGTTGGCTTTGGCCACAAGGTCAAGGAGTTTAGCTGCGGTCTCATAGGGGTATCTCTCAAGACCACCCGGGACAAGTTGATCGATTAATCCTTTGTTTTCGAGATTAAGAATCCTATAGAAGCACTCTAGTAGGACTAGATCGGGTAATTCATGAGTTGGGCATTGCATCAACAATACTTTAAACCTCATCCATGACTCATGAAAAAGTTCACCTTCCATCTATTTGAAGGTTAGGACGCTATCCCTGAACCTCATCACTTCCACCGAGAGGTGCTCTATTGGTTCATAGCCATTAACCACACTCATCTCTCTTGTTGTTAGCACAAGCATGTGAAACAAAACTAAAAATTAAGTAAGTAGAACTACAACTAAGAAGAACAAATTTTTTTACCAATCTAAGAATTTTGAAATAACACCACTCCCCGGCAGTAGCGCCATTTTGATGTTTGCATAATCAAGACACAACTTCCAATGCAAGTGTCTACGATCGTACAACAGTATAGTAACCCAACCAAGGGTTGGGATCGTTCCCACATGGAATGGTTTTGAGAATTAGTAGAAAAATAAAATTAAGTTCTAATTAGTCATAGCTGAAAACATTGTCAACTACAAACATACTAAATTTAAGGGGTGACACAAGTGTCAATTAACGATGGGCTTTTGTCACAATTAAGTAAAAGTAAGCAAAAATGCAAAGAGTACTAATCAAGGATATGGGGTTCTTAGGATGTGATAAAAGGTTAGACTGGACTATTGGGTACATGCTTTTGATAGTAAATCTGCTGAGTATTTGTGACTAGGCTAGACTATAGTGGGGGTAAATTCTCTCTTGAGCAACTTACCCCGAATAAAATGGGTTTCTCTCGAACACCTACTTGTCGCATGAAGAACAGCCTCCACCTTAGCCCACTCACTCTCTCAAGCTGAGTGTGTGAGAGAAGGACTAGGGTTCACTCTCTCGAGCTGAACCTTATGTCGACCCACTCCCACCGGCCATCAATTTAGTAGTCTTAGTTTTACGACCTCTCTCTCGAGCAAGCCAAAAACACAAAGGTGAAATCGTATTTGGAACTACAATTTCATTAAGTTCCACCACAACTACTAAACTATATCACATCCAAACAACAAATAAATCATCAGCAAGTAAGACCCAACATATAATCTAACCCATATTCACAAAATCACACCACAAGAATTGGGGTTTTAGCTAGACATGTAAAAGAGATAGAAATTTATACCAATATGAGTTTGCATTCAAATGGGTATGAAGATTCAAGTCTCAAAACAAGTCAAAATTGAAGAATCCACATGACCCAAGTCCAAAATCTTGGAGTTGAAACCCATTGAATCTTTAAAATTTCCAAAAAATCCTCTCCAAACTTAGAACTCAAAAATTGAAGCAAAGTCTGAAAAATTATTGTTCAAAGCTAAAAATCGATCCTAGAATAATAATTCTCAATGAATATTTATACTTTTCAAAAAATTGTGTTGCAGCGGATCATTCGGCGTCGTTAGTCTAGACCGTCGATCAACTTGGCGATCGCCCTTTGGTAGGTTTCATTGTCGTCTTGCTCTATCATTCATCATCGTCGTGTTTGGATTATTGGGCGACGTAGTACAGCTTCGCGGAACTTCTCGGTGATACGCCGACTGCTCCTTTTCACCGTCGATTTGATCATTTCCTTTAGGGCTCAGCACACTGGACCAAAAGGCGAGGATAGGACCTTTTGGCGACTCGCTGAATGGGTTCGGTGATTCTCAGATCTTCATTTCTTCGTTCTTTCAGCTGCCTTTGTTCCTTGTTTTGCTAAGTAGTGTCCATGCTTTCCTTCAAACTCCAAATACCTGAAACTTAAGGGTTTTCATCAGATATTGAGATAAAATATGCATTTGAGGACACTAATTCTATCAAAATAAAGCCCTGAATGAGTCCAAAAATTGGACTCATCAGAATGCCCAAATAAACTCACAATGGTATGCCTGATGTAATCTTCAAATTGAGTGACTACTATGGGGTGATGGCTGAGGAGTGCTGATACACGATTATTGGCAAGTTTGTTTGAACAAGGCCTAACATAGAACGCATTCACTTGAGGAAAAATGAACAAAGGACTAGGAACAGCATAGAGAAACGAAAACTGCATGAAGAGGAGAAGACTAGCATACTTGAGGATCAACAAATAGGGACCGAAATGCAACAGACAAGTCACATTTTTGAACATGTGCCTTCAGAGAGTTCTCAGGATTTGCTTTAGAGGATTTCCAGTAATAAAAAGAAAGAAAAAAAAAAGAATACTTATACTATACCAAAATCCATTCATGCAATGAAATGTAAATTGTGGAACAAGAAAAGTACTAAAGAAAAGAAGGGAGAGAAAGGGTTTATTCCGTCCAATTGGATGTAAATGGGTTTATTCAATGAAACTTCATTCTAATGGAACTCTTGATCGGTACAAAGCTCGATTGGTGGTCCTTTGCAACAAACTGGAGTATGGTGTAGACTATGAGGAGACTTTTGCACTGTAGCAAAAATGACTACGGCACGAACTATTATTGCCATTGCTGCATCAAAATTGGCCTCTTCATCAAATGGATGTCAAAAATTATTTTCTACATGGTGATCTCAAAGAAGATATTTATATGAAACCCCCACCTAGTTTGTTCTCATTAGCTACATCAGATGTATGCAAGTAGAAACGGTCTTTATATGGATTGAAATAAGCTCCGAGAGTTTTGTTTGAAAAATTTCAGTCTACTTCACTTCAATTCTCTTTTAAGCATAGAGAATATTACTCATCTTTGTTTCTTAAAAAAACATTTGCAGGTTGTGTTCTTCATTTGGTGTTTGTAGATGACATTATTATGACAAGAGTTGATTCTTCACTAACCACTAGCCTCCAACAACACCTTAAGGATTCTTTTCATATGAAAGATCTTGGTACTCTTACATACTTTTTGGGGTTAGAAGTTCATTATAATTCTTTAGGTGTGTTCTTGAACTAATACAAATATACTCAGGACTTGATTGATTTAGCTGGTCTTCAAGAATCTTCCTCTGTAAATACCCCATTGGAATTGAATGTAAATTATTGTCGTACAAAAGGAGATCTTCTTCCTGATCCAACTTTGTATAAGCAATTAGTTGGGAGCATAAATTATCTTATTATTACTCTGCCTGATATCTTTTTTCCAGTTCAACAAGTCAGTCAATTTATGCACGCTCCCCACCATCTACATTTTGTGGTTGTCCCTCGCATCATTCGATATCTCTTGGGAACATCTACTCGTGGATTATTCTTTCCTAGTGGTTCTGAGATTCATGTTAATGTATTTAATGATTCTGATTGGGCTAGATGTCCTAATACTCGTCGTTCTGTCACGGGTTGGTGCAGGTTTCTTGGAGATTCTTTGATATCTTGGAAGAGCAAGAAGCAAGACCTTGTATCAAAATCTTCCACCGAATCTGAATATTGAGCAATATCTCCTGCTTGCTCTGAGATTGTTTGGCTTTGTGGTTTACTTGCAGAAATTGGATTTCCTCAATCTAATCCCACTCCTCTCCATGCTGACAACACAAGTGCTATTCAGATTGCTACTAATCCAGTTTATGATAAATGGACAAAACACATTGTAGTGGACTGTCATTATATCAGAGAAGTTGTAGATAAGAGAGTCATTACTCTTCCACATGTATCCAGTGATCTTCAAATAGCTGATGTGTACAAAGTCTATGGCACGACAACGTCATCAGTTTCTGGTAGGCAAATTGATGTTTTTTGATCCACCAGCAACAATTTGAGGCAGGGGATGTTAGCATGATTGGACAGATTCTAAATATTTGTACATATCTATGTAATAACTCTAAATATTTGTGTAATGATGATAGGATATAACATAGATCAATGTAGCATATCTTCATGGATATTACAATTAGGAATAGCATATATTTAGGGATATATAGAAGATTTTTAGGAATGTAAATCAGAATTCTTTCTTTTTAATGGAAGAACTCTTATTTGAGAGCACTCATTCAGTAAAATAGACACTAGGAAAATGCTACTAAGAAGAATGCTACTGTTTCTAGAGATAATGAGACCAAAATGGCTAAAGGATTAATTTTGCTGATTTTAATGATACTTTAGCCAATAACATTGACAACAGTATTGCTTCTACTTCAGAAGTTATAGTACCAAAAGTTGACAAAATTTCTACTGCTTATACTACTGCCAAAGTGATAAGTTCAGAGGTTAATCCTAGCAATGTTAATGTGACAAAGGCTGCTGATATTCCTACTTCTCCTACATAAGCCAACAGGATAAGTTCAGAGGTTGAGAATTCTATGTCTAGAGGAGATAAGACAAACAAACACCAAAAGCACAAAGCCAAACAAAGAGACCCCAGAAGCATAATATTGATAACAAAAAAACATAAGAAGAAGCAGAAGAAGAATAAGAATCCTACTGTATCAAAATCCATTCAGGCTATAAAAAGTAAATCGTGGAACAAGAAGAATATTGAAGCAAAGAAGGGAGGGAAAGGAAAGTTACCAAAGTGCTTAAACATTGAAAAAGATACTACTAAGATTCCAGAAGTGCATCACATCTCCTACAATGAGAAGGTTGTACAAAACACCACAAGAATTCAAGAACATAACAATAGCAATAGGGAGATGCAAACCAGCTCTCAAAGAAGCACCAACCTAGTTGAAGATTTGTCTGACTCAGGAATACATGTTACTCTATCTGCGACTAATAATTTCAAAGATATTAATGGGAAACTTATAGTAAATTTGAGACCTCTGAGAATAGGTAAGTTTTAATGGCTTTGACAAATCACATCAATGATATGGATATGGACAGGATAGTCGAAGAATCACATGAGGAATTTGGACAAGATCAGGAGCAAGGGGATTTTTCTATCCTCAAGGATCCCGAAAATCCCCTGGAAAAGGATATTCAGGATATCACTGACAAAAATGGTCTTTCTCCGAGAGGCCTAAAACAGAGGAAAGAAAGAAAAAAAGAAAGTCAAGCAGGACATACTAGTAAGGCAGGACTGTTACATGAAAAAATCAAAGACAAAAGCTCTCATCCCCATATGTTTAAATGATTAAAGCAATCACATTGAATATTTGGAGTAAGAGGTCGAAAGGGGCTTTTGGCAGACTCATGAGACTGGTCAATCTTCACAAAGTAAATTTTATTACTTTACAAGAACCCTTCCTCATTCCCAATCATATTGAAGAATTCAGG